TAATTTACATAAATATATGTGATTTTAATGTAAAATAAAGAGGTAAAAAGGTGCTCTACCTCAACTTAAGGTTAAAATGTTAAAATGTGAAAATAGTGCTGTTCTTTAGCCAATAGGAGGAAAGGCCATTCACATCTTATGACGCCGGCTTTTTATGCCTCTGAGCATCACAATTCCAGGTGAAACGTTGAATGAAAGTGACAAAAAGACAAAGATTTAAGTCTAAATGGGGTGTATGCGAGAGGTTTCTTCTTCGTGGCTTTTTTCATTTGAGTTTTTGAGTCTTTGGAAGCGTCCAACCATCCAAACTGGCTTTGAAATGGGGAGGATTCTGCAAAAAAAGGGCTGTAATTTCGTCTTTTAAACTAAGGTCTGAAACTGAAGGCACTTAGATTGTGTTAAATCTGTAGTCACAAAAAGGACGAGGGGACAGATAGGTTGTGACCCACTGGTGCGAAATGAGGTGAGAAAAAGAGGAGAAAACACAACATTAATGATGGAGATCATTCAGTGATTTGCACTTCCTGTACAGGAAGCACAAACTGCTCTCATCTGGGGAAAAAGACCAAAAAACCTGGAGCAAAGAGTTTGATTTCCGAATGACAAAAAATCAGAGAAAAGCCTTCTGTCCCCGTTTGAAAAGGAAGAAATGGGCAGTCACGGCTGTGGTTTTTCTCCTGGTTTTGTTCATTTTTTGGTCAATATTTATCTCCACAGCATCCTGACAGAGGGAGGGAAACTTAAGCCTGTATAGCCTGAACGAGGAATAAAAACCTTTAAAAAATGCAAACTTTTTTATCTGATGTCTTTGCTTGACTAACAAAATCTGAAAGAAGATATAAACAAAATTAAATGTTCTTACCTCAAATGTAATAAATGTTTTCTGCTTATTTTTATTAGAAAAAAAATACAACCCCCCCCCCCCTTTTTTGTATATATTTTTTTCTTTTTCTGCAGAAATATTCTATTTTCTCTCTAAAAAAAAAAACTTGATGTCTTTGCTTTAGTCTTCTGGAAGAGGAAATAAAAGCATTTAAATTAAATGTTTTACCTCAAATGTAATCAATGTTTTCTGTGCATTTTTATTTGAAAAAGAAAAATACAAAAAAGCCCTGCTTTTTCTATTTATTTATTTTTATAATAAAAATGTGCAGAAATATTCTTTTTTCTCTCTAAAAACATAACACGATGTCTTTGCTTGACTCTTCTGGAAGGGGAAATAAACAAAAGCAATTTAATTAAATGGTTTTACCTCAAATATAAAAATGTTTTCTGCACTGAAAAAAAATACACAAATCCCCCCCCTTTTTTTCTAATAAAAATGTGCAGAAATGTTCAATTTTCTCTCTAAAAACAAAACATGATGTCTTTACTTGACTCTGTTGACTTTGTTTTTACCTCAAATGTATTAAATGTTTTATGCACATTTTAATAGAAAAAAAGACAAAAAAGCCCCCCCTTTTTGTATTTCTTTTTCTAATAAAATTTGCAGAAATATTCTTATTTCTCTCTAAAAACAAAACATGATGCCTTTGCTTGACTTTTCTGGAAGAGGAAATACAAGCATTTAAATTAAATGTTTTTACCTCAAATGTAATAAAGGTTTTCTGCACATTTTTATTTGAAAAAAAATACAAAAATTTATTGAGAGGAAATAAACAAAAGCATTTGAATTAAATGTTTTTACATCAAATGAAATAAATGTTCTTAGAAAAAAAAAGACAAAAAAGCCCCCTTTTTTGTATTTTTCTTCTAATAAAAATGTGCAGAAATATTCTTTTTTCTGGAAGAGGAAATAACAAAAGCATTTGAATTAAAATGTAATCAATGTTTTCTGCAGATTTTTATAAAAAGAAAAACTTTGTGTTTTTTTTTCAGATAAAAATGTGCAGACATATTATTTTTTCTCTCTAAAAAAATGTTTTTACCTCAAATTAAATCAATGTTTTCAATCGATCAATGTTTTCTGCACATTTTTTGTTAAAAATCCCCCCTTTTTGTATTTTTTTCTGTTAAAATGTGCTTAAAATATTCTTTCTTCTCTTTAAAAACAAAACAAAGAGAGGCCTAATAAAGGCTCAGAAAGAGC